TAAGTTACACATAATAGTTCTAAACTCCTTCATGAGGAAAAGCTTTTAAGCTGGATTCACACAGGCGGTAGATATAGAACAGCATCAGGCACCTATGTTGTTGGAGCAGCATTATGCAGGTTGTGGAGACTGCTCGCCCTGACAGGAAAAAGGGACAAAATCGGGAGCAGCAATGTGAAAACTGAGGCAGCCGAGGTCCAAATGTTCCACAAATCCCTCAAGCAATTGTGCCACACCATATTGCCCCACCCCCCAGGCGTGCAAAGTGAGCGCTGTACCACCTATTGAACCTGATTTTTGCAAGGAAAGCCACACAACTAACGTGAAAACCTAGAAAGTCCATGCAGATAGTGTTCAAAGCGGCGGGGCAGGAGTACCAATCATACTGTTACCTATGGAAATGTATAGCACAGGATACAGCAAGTTATACAGCAAGTGAAACACAATTCCTGAACAGTACGGATTGATTCAATTGTTTAAAAATATTCTAGGGAGCAGTTTTTCCTCCTAAAACTACCATTTTGAATGATAACCCTCTGTGTGAAAACAATTACTGGTTTGGTATCCATATGGTTCTAGCAGGTCCACAAGGTGCAGCAAGGTTCAAAAATCCTTCAAGTCTGTGTGGTTTGCATGCAGCTCTTAAGCTTTTAAGTATAGGGAAATGGATGAAACTCTGCATCCCTTGCTCTTCTACAAATGTTAATCATCCTTCTTTAGGGCAGGTTCACACCATTTTCTGGACCAGATCTGGAACGCAGTGCATTGCGTTTTTACCGTGATTTTGCTGCGATTATTTTAATTTTTTTTGCTTAAAAAATGGTCTTACAAGTGCGTTCCAGTGCATTTGTATGGTTTTTGTGTTCCAATGCATTCCAGACCAGAAAAAAATAGGACAAGCTGTGTTTTTCTGGTCTGATCTGGAATGGACTGCGCAGGTGTGAACAGAGGACAGAAATAGCATAGGGATGCATTAGGATGCATTTTGGGTCCTGAATAGAGCTGCAACAGTTAATCGATTAAGTCGATTAAAATCGACGATTGAAAACGTTGGCAACGTTTTCGATCGTCGATTCGTCGGCTATCGATTGCTTAGCCTGTTCGGGGCTCCGCACGCGGCCTGAGTCGCACGTCAAATGCGTTCCGGGCTGCTTTTTGGTTAAAAAAAAAAAAACTGATAAATTCCCTCCACTATATTGCCAAAAGTAGAGCTGCAGCTAACGATTATTTACAAAAATCGATTAGTTAGCCGATTATTGAGTTCGATTAATCGGTTAATCGGATAAAAAATAAAATACATTTTAAAAAATGGCAGAATGGCACCGGCTATAGAGGACTACAAATCCCAGCAATAATATATTATACTGCGCAATGCAGAATACCACCAGCTATAGAGGAGTACAACAAATGCCAATCTACGGACTTACACTGGAATGCCATTAAAGTTCATGTGCCTGTAAAGGCCGGCGTCCCAATACTTTTGGCAATATAGTGTATATGATCAATGAAAATAGAGTTTTTGGCTGAATCAGATTATCTTTTTATAATTTTGCAATTATTTGTCTTATTGAATTAGCAGACTGCACATTACAGTAGTGTAATCCATAGCAACCAAATTCAGGGCCCATTCAAGCTATTTTGTGTACGTTGCATAGACCTGTTCATTTACCATGGACCCTCAACATGCATGTACAGACCAAAGAAGGCGCCTAACTTATATTTTTCTAACTAACGTGTGTTCACATCTATGAGCTGAAGGGTTAAGTGCATTATATACTGTGTTGACATGTGTTGGGGCCCATTAGAGATGAAAACAGTATGTACATTAAAATGTGTGCCAATGCATGCAATATCGGGAATCTTAACTTACTGCAGATCACAGCGCGAAAACCTCAACATCTAAAAGGGAAAGTTGGGAATTGGATATGAATTTAGCTGCCTATAAATCGCCAGATCTATTGATCGATCGGATGGTTCATATTCACTAAAAGTAGAGGCCTCTACTTGTGTATTTTCCATCAAATGCTCAGGTTAATCTGTGCTGGCTCACGTTAAAAAAAAAAAAAAAAAAAAAAAAGAAGAAGGGCAAGTTTACCATATAGATAACCTACACTGACATTTTATACACAATGCATAGAGATAGCTTTAAGGACTGGACTGATCTTTTTTTCTTGCTTAAAACATACAAAACAATGTACAACCCGTGCACTAACAGCTGTGATTTGCAAACTCATACCAGGTGCCTTGCCTAGTCTATTTGATTTAATTAAAATATGGTTCATTACAACCACATTTGTAGAAGTGATTCACAGCGCCGAGGCTTCCCAGGGTGAGCAGCAGATCCTCTCATTGACTTGCAAGCTCTGGGGGAAGTGCCATGGAATAACACAAACACTGGGGGAGGGGGGCCTATCCGTTCAGGAAGACCACAAGCAAGCAGCTGTACATCTTGCAGCAAAGCAGTATATCCTTTCCAGTCTCCAAGCGTGGCTTTTATTCAGAGGAGTTCTGTAATTAACATAGCCATGTGTCTCAGATAGCGCACCCCCCCACACACACCCAAACTTTGCAATGTGCTCAGAAAGGAATTAAGCAAATGGCACTTCTATTTACCGTTCCACCAACCTCATACCTCCAACATAAACCTACTTACGCAGTTCATTAGCTCCCTGCTGTGCTCACAGCCAGAGCTCAGCACAATCAGCACACAGGATGGAACTTCTTCAACTCACAAGCTCAGAGATTTCATGGTGCACAGAAATCACAGTGAATCATTATTTCAGAACATCCGCTGTGCTGCAATTTACATATATTTGGTGCATTGCCGCACACATTAATGTGCCTCGTGTTAATGCAGCCCATGCATTTTCTGCCAGAAAAAAAAACAGCGACATGAACCCCTTTTTTTTCTTAAATAAGACCACGCCGGGTTCCCATCTGTGCGGTTTCTGGTGCCATTCAAAACAAACTGAACCATAACTGTGGCTCATCCATTGGGGTAAAGCATGCATTTTACTGCTTGTGACTGGGACACATAGGTGTCAAGCCAGACTAAAGCAAATCATTGTGCAAACTGGGCCAAGATAGCAGCTGCTAAGGGGTAATAAATGGCATAGCATAAGGCACGTTTCATAAAAAGAAAATCATTTGGTCTAGCCTGGTATCAGGTGAAAGCAAGGATAACTGTACATCAGTGACAATATGATGTCATGCAAAGGAAAGGGTGCAATGCCAAAAAAAAAGAGTTTTGGTCATCTTACACTGTTATTTAGAATGCTAGCTCAGGTCAGGTTCACACCTGCGCGATCCATGACCGAGCGGCGATCTTGCACGATACCGGAGTTGCCCACCACTGACATCGCCCTGGCGGTGCAATTATTTTCTAATGGCACCCCAGTCGTGCTGGGTGGATCACTCGGCACCCTTGCAATCGAACACAATTGCGGCTAAAACAGCCATGCGGATGTAGCCCCAATAAAATCATTGGTGCCGCTTGGCAATTGCTGTGTACAACATCCCGCGGTGCCAGGTCTGCACCAGCCTTGAGGGGTGGACAAATTAAAATGGAGCGAGTCTGTCCAATCCATGAGCCAGCCGGATTTCTTTTTTAGGAGTCATGCTCCAACCTCATAAATTAGGTGCCAGTCTTATTTTGAAGGTGCATTGGCTACCAGGCTCCTGGGAATTGTCCAGCCCTGTGCTAGCTACTCACAAATATTTATTGAACCAGTTGAAAACCACATCTTTTGCAACGTCTATATTTATAAAAATGCTGTGTAAGCAACAAAATATCAACTTTGCTACACATTTGATATGGCTTATCCTGATCTCGGGTCAGATCCTCAGTCTAATGTTTGTGCATGCATACAGGTCACCAAGTGGTAAACATTGTTGCATAAAAAGGATGTTGTAACATTTAGTAAGAAAAAACACCAAAAGTCCCCTGGCTGAGAGAAGGCTAAAAAATTCAAGAGATACTAAAACAGATACATGGGAAGCTGCAGGAAGAGCAGGAGACGCACAGCATTTTATCATGACATAGTTATCTTCCCTGGAGGCCCGAGGAAAAAGAGCCCAATTAATTTGTCTGCATGTGATGAGGCTCGAAGCTTTGGCAGCACTCGACATCTGATTGCACGCTGCTGTGTACACCTGGCTGCGCATCAAAGAAAAACATTCATCGTTTCTGCGAGTAAATAGAAAGCAGACCTCTGGATTAACGCCTGCATCTAATGCCAAGCAACTTCAGCCCCAAATCTGACACTGAAAGGGGAAAAAAAAAAAAATCTACACTGCAGATGATCATTGTAATTTTAGGCTAAGTGCAAAAATAAAAAAGGAGAAGATAGATGAGCCGTCATAACCAGAAGCACACAAGTGATGTTCAAACACTAGACCAGGCCACACACATCCAAGAGTATACTTCAGCTTGACCACACATGCACTGGAAGACGAGAACCTTCTGCCGCCTGGCTGACAATGAGAACACTCCCCAATCTACCAACATTTGTACGAAGGCAGCAGATCTCCCCATAAGTGCTCACAAACAAGCGGATAAGGGGGGGAGGGGGCACACAATCTCCAAGTCAGATGCAATTCAGCTTTGGTTGTCACAGGATAAATGGCACTTATGTGTACATTATAAAAACTGGTTTATAAAAGTACAAAGGAAAAA